GGCCATGACTAAATCTGAAAAACTCCCCGACGTGATTGCTACCAAATGCCCGAAGTAAGGTGCCCTCAGGGTCTGTACAAACAGCTTTCTAGTTTCCTTTTCATCCAAAGGTGGATGAACTTGCACAGATAAATCCCTCCATCTCTGTGCGTACTGTCGGAAACTCTCATTGTGTTTCTTCTCTAGGCTTTGTAACATGACCCGGTCTGGTCTCATATCGTTGATATGCTTATACTGTTCCAAGAAAGATTTGGCTAAGTCTTTCCACGTCTTGATATGAGTCCGGCTAAGCTGGTTGTACCACCGAATAGCTGAACCGGACAGGCTCTCTTGAAAACAATGGATAAGGAGTTGGTCATTCCCGCCATATCCTGTCATCTTTCGACAGAACATAGTAATATGGGCTGAAGGGCAACTGTTCCCGTCGAACTTCTCAAACTCAGGAATTTTAAACTTTGGTGGAAGCACCAAGTCTGGAACTAGGCTTAGCTCCATTGCGTCCACTCCATAATAATCATGGTCTCCCTGGACCATCTTTATTTGATCTTCTAATATTTTTATCTTTTCTTCCATCTTTTTGGCTTTATCTTCCTCGTCAAAGTCTGGGACATTATAATCATCCGGATGATCATCAGGGATGATTGTAGAAGTTTGTATCTTCACAGCAGGTGCAACTTTGCTTTGGTAGCGAATGAGTCCCCGGGTAGTGCTGCTTTCCCTTAGTAGCAGATGCGTCCCCGGGTAATATTCCGGGTGAGAGAACCACTTGCGGGGTTGGTGGTATGGCCACCCCCTCGGAAGAGATGCCCCCTGATGCACTAGCTTGCTGTAGACCTGACAACTTGGCTACGATTTGGTTGACCAAGGACTCCTGATTTTTCTTGATGGACTCAAGAGTACTTTCACTGTTCTGAGCCATCTTATCTTCTAGCTCCTTTTGAAGTCTTGCCATGTGTTCTTCGATCTTCTCCATTCTGGCTTCCATTTGTCTCTTTTTGCTCGAGTGTTGTGCGGGTGATGTGTATCTGACGCTTGTGGTGGTAAGCTCGGTGTCTGAGACATGTTCTGTTAGTTAATACGAATGTAAAAACATGGAAAAAACATAAAATAAACAAACATGAAATATAAAATGCAAGAAATGCAATGCATGATGTATGCAATTGGAGGCATTGATCCAGAAAAGTGTCCATTATTATAAATAACCCTTGTTCAGACAAAAATGTCTTATCTTTTAAGAGACATAAAAACAGATTAAAGGTACATTTGGACTAAATCCTCTAGACCCCGAACAGCTTCCAGTAGGTTGACAAGTCTTCTGCCTTCATCTGTCACTGGTTGAATGCCCTGTCGAACCACACCCGCTTCCCTTGCTAGGCCGTGAAGATGACGGGCTGCTTTTTGCACTTGATCTAGGAAATCTCGGATGGTTGCGTCTCGGGCCCTCACCCTCCGCTGTGCTTGTTCCCAACGGAAACGCCATTGTAATCCTCCGTCGAAAGGCACTATCTGAAGCTCGTTTGCTTGCCTCTTGAACCCCTCTATAATAGCTTCTAACTCAGCTATTGTCTTGCCATCTTTCTCATGTTGTTTTTCTAAGTCAGCTACCCGAACTCTTAAGCGTTGGTTCTGATATTGACTATCTGCCAAGCGTCTTTGGGCATTCTTCATCTGTTCCTTCCAAGCTTTCTCATCAGGCCCCTCAAACTTCCTTTTCAGGCTATGAGCTTCGTCTTTCCAGTATTCAGAGGTTACCTTCAACTTGGAATTATCCTTGACCTTATCCTGATACCCTTTTCTCAAGTCTTCGAACTCAAAACGGACTCTTTTTTGTTCTTTTTCCAGTTCTCTGCCCGATCTTTCTGAGAGTCAGCATCGAGCTTCCACTGATAACGTTCAGCTTCAAGTTCCTTTATTCTTTGCTTCAGCTCATTATTCACGGCTTCAAACTCGGTCTTGGCTATCTCGAGTTCAGAAGGGACATGCATGAGGTGTTCTTCCATGGTCCGGGTGTCATCACGGTCGGGCACAGGGATGTTGTCATTCTTTCTTGACCTTCGCCACTCCACATAATCCGGAGTGAGCATGCTTCTGGCAGCTACAACATCCATCCGGAATACTTTCCTCCACGAATCGGCTGCTTCTTTGATCATCTTCTTATAGCTGTCGCCGTGATACTCAAACTCTGACTTAGCCAACCCGCATGTTGCTGGGACAAACTGACGTGCTCCGTACTGTCTAAGTGCTAATAGCGGAGCATACCCGACTGCTCCCCAAAGTCCAAGTAAGGTCACAGTGTCAGAGTCACCACATCGGAAAAGAACGTCACTGAGAAATAGCCAGGGGGCTCTCCAGACAATATCCTGATCCTGAAGATGCGTAAAAACCTTCATCCATTTTTCTTTCGAAGCGCCTTCATGCCATTTCAAGGTGATGAATTCACCTAGAGGTGAATAGGTGGTGCTGAAACGGCGGTAGGCAACCCCGTTAGTCTTCCAGAAATGGCTGTGAATCCAGACCTGAAGGAGCTGAATACACCGGTAAATCTTCCTCCGCCAGTTCTTCGACAATGGTTGAGCGATCGAAAGGTCTCGGCCAAGATGGCTGGTGCTGGGTTAACTCGTTTAGAAAGTTGCTCAATAGTTCCACTACGGCAGCGTCAATGCACCCCAAAGCTTTCGGAAAGATAATCAAACCGTACAGACCCAGTGCAAAAAGGTCTATGGTCTTCCACTCATCAGGGTGGTTTTTCATTAGTTGCTTTATGTGGATCCATTCAATTCCTTCTCCACTGCCTCTACGCTGAGTCCGATCGATTACCCATTTCTCATCTACTCCTGCAACTTTGGCTAGTGCATTCTTGAAGGGCTGGCTTTTGATGTGTTTAATGTAGGCTCGCTCAAGCTTGATACTTTCGCAGTGTAGTAGAGTAGTATACTCTTCGATAGTAGGCATCATGTCTTCCTGGTTAAAGGTGAAACAACTATATCCCGGATTCCAGAATTGAATTAATGCTCGGAGTAAGGGCTCATCAGTCTTGACATGGAGTAAGAGGGCGATATCACCATATCGTTGGCTGAACTTCTGCTTTCTGTCATTCTTCCAACTGTCCCAAATGTTTTGCAGCTCCTGGACATTATTCTGTTTCAGACTGACAGCGGCATAACTAACCAGTTCTGACACATAGTTTCCCTGAAGACTGTCTCCCTTCTCTTTCTGAGCCTTCTCGGACCATAGTCGTGCCTCAGCGTTTTCAATCTCTTGTATTACAACACCTTTGTCCATTAACTCGAATTATTTTGTGTATAACAAACGTTTTTTAGGGATCAATAGCCTCTTGTAATGATGCAAATGCTAGAAAACAAACACAAAGGAAAAACGTTAGTAAAATAGAAATAGATAAAAATAAATAAAAATAAATGGTAAATGAAAAAAAACATATATAAAAAAAAGGTTAGGAAAGAAATGTCCTCGGTTTTGGAATGTGGTTTTGGGGTAGGCTCTATTTATTCAAAGTCTCCCGGTTTGGGTTCTAAAAACGGTACTCGAGTTCTCCTTGCTGGCGCCCCCTTGGACCGACCAGACCCTTAGTCCGAAACCCATCACAGGCTTGTGTGGACTAAGTTAAACTCGAGAGGACACATTCCCTTATGCCCATACGGAGAATAAATTCACACGAAGGCATAAGGTATATGAATCCCGAAGGCTACTTGCTAGGCCCATACGGTGAATAAATTCACACGAAGGCGTCGCTTTCACCCCCACTTAAAACGGGTTCGGAGCTCGGGTTTAGAGCCTTAGATGAAAAATGTTTGGAAAGCTGAAATCATGAGAAAACGATTAGTACAACTATTTACTCGAAAAATATAATCAAAAGTAAGCAATAAGGATCGAAATTTTACCTTAAAATTTAAACTTACCCTTTTCGTTAAAAAGACAACTGGAAATTACCTTAGCCTGACTCGCTTACCTTGTCCCCAGCAGAGTCGCCAAGCTGTCGTAACCGTCTTTCGGTTGTGCCCCGGAATTGGGCTTCGACTTATAAAAATGTGGATTGGAGTCGCCACCGATCATTTATTTAAAATAAATGGGTTGATCGGATACCTTATTTCTTACCTGATCTGCGTCTTACCAAAGATGTATCGAATTCGGGAGTCGGTTACAGTCAAGGAAGGGTTAGCACCCTTGAACTGCCCTTTCGGTACTACGTAGTTTCCAGTTGTCTTAAATTAAGAAAATTGTAATTTTTAATTAAAAGGTAAAATTTGATCCTGAATTACTTACACTGATTGAGTGAAATACATCCTTGAAAGGTAGAGATTGTTAGAAAGAAAAAAATGTGACAAAAATAAATAAGATAAAGTAATTAAAAGAAAACAAATAAGAACAAGATAAGATAAAGGCAATAAAAAAACAAATAAAATAGGATGAATATAAAAGGAAAAGAAACAATATATATATATAGTAAATAAAGTAAAATAATAAAATATATCTATAACGAGAAAAAAATATCAAAAAGGTACGATGATAATAATAAAAATACAATAAATAAAATATGTATGTTAATGATAATGATAATAAGTAATAATAACAATAAATAAGAATATATACATATATGAAAACGATAATAATAGTTATATGGATAAAATATATATATAATAAAAAGGAAATATATATATATAATAAAAACAATAATGATAAAAAGGATTGAATTGAACACGAAATAAATTCAAGGGTCAATTTACAAAGATTTCGGGTATAAAAATCGATTTAGGGGACTAAATTAAATGTTTTAAAACATGGAGGGCCAAGCGCGAATCTCTCTTTTCTTGTAAAACACTCGGGTCTGAGACTCGGATCGGGTCGTAGCGCGGGTCGCTAGGCCGGGTATGGGCTTTGTATAAAAGCCAATTTGCTCTCTTAATTTCTCATTTTCCTTTCTTCTCATACGAGAGCCTCCTCAATTCTCTCATCTGTTCTTCACTCTTTGAAGAACACGGCAGGCCTCCCACCATCTCCAAAATCCGACAACCGTGTGCCGCCTCACCGCCGCCGTTGATCGGCGGCGGCCGTCGTTCATCGGCGGCCAAACAAAAAAGTTTGTCTTTTTTTAAAAGCTTTCGTCCTCCCGGTTTCAAAAATGTTTTTTGTTTTTGCAAAGTGGCCTCAAGGGAGGCTAGATCTGGATTTTAAAACCTCGACATTCCCTTAAAAGTTCATCGGCCGAAATAATTTTTTTTTGATTCGAGCCAAAATAAAAATGAAGAAAGAACACGCATGCAAGCCAAACGTTGCAAGGTATGGAATTTACCTCTTGATGCTCTCTGTCGAAATATAAATGCTTCGAAGAAAAGAAAACTACTGTTATTGGATGCAATTTGTTTGTCACTTTTGCTTGGTATTTCCTCCCCCTTTTGTTCGATTTACATACCCTATTTATAGTACAAAAATGATCCTATCTTTAGCATTTGATTCCGAGAACAATTCTCGGTTTGTTGCTTGTTCTTAGCTTCCTACTAACACCCTACTTGTTTGTTGAACCCGAGCGAAACTGCCGGTGATGGAGAAGCGTGGAGCACGAGGATTCCTTGGGAGTGACTTGCGGCGCCGAGGGTGAGAAGTTGCTAGGGTTTGACTTGGGCACCCACTGTTTGGGTCTGGTGTAAACGGGCTGGAGTTGGATCAATGCTGGGCCACTGGGTTATATCCACTTGTAATACTTGGACCTGTAAAAAACAAAATGTATTATAATTTATAATATTACATAATAATATCATAATTTATAATTTCCATGGTCGACATTGAGTGTCTTCAGTTTGCAAACGGTTTTTGAAAATATATATATAATATATAGTTTTTTAAAAGGAAAACATTTTGAAAATATGGGTAATATATAGTTTTTTAAAATATTTTTTGAAAACTATATAACATATAGTTTTTAAAACATTTTAGAAAATATATAATATAGTTTTAAAATCATTTTAAAAACTTATATAATATATAGTTTTAAAAACATTTTGAATAAATTATATAATATATTTTAAAAACGTTTTTTAAAACTTATATATTTTTAAAACATTTTGAAAACTATATAATAGTTTTGAAAACTTTTTAAATATAATATATAGTTTAAAAAATATTTTTGAAATATATGTATTATATAATTTATATTATATCAGTATTATTATTTATTTTCTTTTTATTTTCTTTTTATGTTTTTTTTAGGGTCCAAACAGTCCAATAAGTCTCGAGGGCCTGATCCAGCCCAGCTCAGATTAGGGTTCCAACGTATGTTCAAACAGGCGCAGCGTAAGCCAAGGAGGTCAAGGGTCATCACACCGGCCACCGAGATTTCCGCTGAGGAGATCGGGACTGACCCATCCCGAATCCCCGGCCAACTAACCATGAGCACGTTACCGTTATCATCGAGCAGACCCCCGGTGGGTGGGTATAATATCCCACCACGGCCATCATGGAGGGGGGAGCCACGCAAATCTCAGAAGCATAAACACAGTAAACCAAATAACCAAAACAAGATCAAGGAGAACCCACAACGGATCAACAGTAAAACCAAGAGTTCAAACCAACAACAAGTAAAAACTGAAGCCAACAGTACATCAGAGTCACAAAAACCAGAAACCAGAAGACATCAAAACCCATCAAACCACAACTACCAAATACATCCAAGATACAAAGCAAAATATATCAAAGGAAGGATCGAAACTCTTGGCGCGAGGAAAAGCACCACCGTGAGGAACGAAAACGTCGGGATACGAAGGGTTTTAAGGGTAAAAATCGAATATTTACGCCTAGATCTACGCCGGTAGGGGCATGTTTTGTGTTTTTGAGTCACATATTTAGGTTTACGGGGTGGAGAGGAGTATTTTGAGGGGCTTTGGTTTTTTCGGCCGCCGCGAGCGGCGGCCGTCGGCGGTTGTGGACAGCGTCGTAGGTGGTCGGAATCGCCAAGGGAGAGGGCTTCAGAGCCTTCTCTCGTTTGAGAGAAGAATCTGAGGAAATGGTGGAAATGAGCTGAGAAAGGGTGTGTTGGGCATTTATATACGAGGGACCAGTGTGCAAATAAAGGATTCTTAAATCCTTTCCGCAGTCCCTATCATTTTGAGTCGCAGTTCAATTTGGTCACTACCTGTAAATTGGCCTCCATATTTCTGATTTAATCAATTTGGTCCCTATTTATATTTTTTTATATTCTGTGAATTGGTCCCCTAACTTTTTATTTGTTCTTTTGCAGTTCATTCTCTAATTCATTAAGCTCAATTTGTTCCAATTTGATCCTAAATTTTATCTTTATTTTTTATTTTACTTTTTAAATATTTTTTTTTAAATTTAACCTTTTATTATTATTTTATTATTTCTTTCTTTCATTATTATTATTTTTTTTATATTTTTTTTATTTATTAGCATTTTGTTTTCGCTTTTTATCTAACGTATTTTGTTTCAGTCATGATTTCAGCCGATCAAATGGTAAGTAATTCGGATCGAATGAATTTAATTTTAATTTAAATTCTAATTTTCGCAATTAAAGACAACCGACAAATTAATTGGTACCGAAAGGGCGGTTCAAGGGTGCTAATCCTTCCTTGACCGTAACCGACTCCCGAACCCGACACGTTTCTGGTACGACGCAGATCAGGTAAGATGGTATCCGGCCCACCTAAATTCGTTTTAAAGTGGTCGGTGGCGACTCCAATTCATTTAATCCAAGTCGAAGCCCAATTCCGGGGCACAACCGAAAGATGGTTCCGACATGTATGATGGAGGGACCATTTGTATCCATTTATATATAAGAAAATAACCTCAGTGACAAAAGATGTCTTATAATATACGATTTTAATCAATTTTTTTTGGATTTGTCAAAATGACCAACTAAATTGCAATGCGATTGATAATTCGCAACGCGATCTCCGGTATCACAAATCAGTTTCCAGATTCGCAACGCGAACTTCGACTATCGCATTGCGATTTATATATTCGCATTGCGATAGTCCAAATTCGCGTTGCGATAGTCGAAGTTCGCGTTGCGATTTTCCAAGTTCGTTGCGATAGTCGAAGTTCGCGTTGCGATTTATTCCAAGTTCGTTGCGATAGTCGAAGTTCGCGTTGCGATTTATTTTCGTTACGATAGTCCAAAATCGCAACGACTGGTGGTATTGCATTTGTTTCTTAAGAATTTTCTCTAAAAATATAGTATTCGCGCGGACGTGTCGAAGACACGTATTACCACGACTACGACCACGACCCGAGACGAGATGGCGACGGCGGCGGCGCGCGAGAGTCTCCCTTGTTCTCTATCACTCAACAAGGAAGTGGGAAAGCCAAGCCTTAAATACCATTCCCAATAGTATTTCCAATACTATGTGGGAAAATCGCAACAAATTTGGAATAAATCGCAATGAATTTGGAATAAATCGCAACGCGAACTTCGACTATCGCAACGAATTTGGAAAATCGCAACGCGAACTTCGACTATCGCAACGAATTTGGAAAATCGCAACGCGAACTTCGACTATCGCAACGAATTTGGAATAAATCGCAACGCGAACTTCGACTATCACAACGAATTTGGAAAATCGCAACGCGAACTTCGACTATCGCAACGAATTTGGAAAATCGCAACGCGAACTTCGACTATCGCAACGCGAACTTGGACTATCGCAATGCAAATATGTAAATCGCATTGCGATAGTCCAAGTTCGCGTTAAGATAGTCGAAGTTCGCGTTGCGAATCTGGAAACTGATTTGCGATACCGGAGATCGCGTTGCGAATTATCGATCGCATTGCGATTTAGTTGGTCATTTTGACAAATCTAAAAAAAGTTGGTTAAAATCGTATATTATAAGGCATTTTTGGTCACTGAGGTTATTTTCTCTTTATATATTATGTTAATTTTATCTATTTCTAAAGAAAGACGCCATATAACTTGCAATATTATGGTTAAGACCCTAAATTTATTGAATGTTTAAAATTAATATAAAATATAATCGTTCAAGGCAAGATTTATTATTATACCAATCAATATTATATAAATTGACAGAAAAAATTAACATCGTCATTAATTACATAAATTCCTTAATTACTCACTTTCAAGTTGACAAAACACTAAATTATTTTTATTTTTTAAGAGATCAATTTCTCCAATTTCAAATTCGATGGGATTTAAGTTTATGTACTGCAAAAATAATTAAAAGACCAACAAAAAAATGCATCACATGGGCATGGGTCGAATTTTTGATCTACATGAAAACAATGACTCCACCTGAAATCCGACCCAACCCGTATAATATATATCCTCTACCCGAACCTGACCCGAAATAATAAAAAATATTTATTTTTATTCAATAAAAACAATGATTTAATTGAAAAATAAAACATAGAAGGGTATTATTGTAATTATTCTTAAATACATAAGGTAATTTTTTTTCCGGATAGTGTCGAGTATTTTTGATCCTAAATCCGAATCCGACCCGAACACCACCTCTTAAAAAACACGACCCGACCCGAACCCAATTTTTTTTTAAAAAAAATCCAACTCGATCGGGTCGGGTCAGACCCCGTCAGGTTCTGTCCCATTCCCATCCCTAATCACATGAAGATAAACATGCTAATTTACATAAAATAAATTATCAATGAGTAAAGCTTAAATTTAACGATGAGTGACAATAATATAAACATGATTCAATATATCATATTTACCAATATCTTCAAAAGTCATATTGCATGAAATAGAAAAGTTTCAAGAGAATGAAGCATGAGATTTGTACCACATTCAGATATGCTGTCCCTCCCCAAGAATAATGTCATTTAACAGAGCAGAACCTCAACACACTATTAAATTCATAGCAGCTATTAATATCAGAGAGGAAGGACAATTACGACCTTTCGACCTTCAAAACCCGAATTCATACCACAGAGGCATCATTTTCTAAGGCCCATCGTCGAGCATAATATCTTGAAATCAAACAACTCCAATTCTGGTTTATCGGTGATGCATGCAATCTAGTTTGCCAATCCTGCTCTCATACCTTTGCACCAAGGAATGACTGAAATGAAACCGAGAACGATTAAGGGAGTCGACAAAAGTTCAACGCAATGGTAAACGGTATCCCCAGAAAATACTGGGGACGATGATATTCAGCAGTTGGTGTATAGAATCTTGCTCAAAACTCCAGTTTCATGCAAGGAGCATTTTTCAATCTCCCTTTGAAAGACATACTTGATTTAATTTCAAGAACGATGGCAGAATTAATCAAGAGAAAAAGAAAATACAAATGCGCACACTTGATGACAAAGTTAAATAGTTTGGACCAACTATATATATTAGCTCCAATACTGTAAGCTGAGAAAGTAATACCTCAAAAGAAAACTACAACATGAGAACCACGATTGATACCGAAACATCATGCGTAATTGAATATTTTACTCGTAGAATTTACCTTGACTCCTGCTGGAGAGTTTCCGGGCTTTGCTGTTGTTGTGCTCCCCATGTTAAACTTTGGCCTCTTATCAGCAGGCTTCAAAATTTGAAAGGAGCACATCAAAGTCTCGTCCACACTCATCATGGCTCCAGAGTTATCAAACTCCCCGCAATAATTGGGTGCTGAAAATATAGTTACTAGTTGTCGGTCGGCAAAGAACTCGTAGCCATCCTCTACAACCTACAATATATATATATATATATATAAAAACCCTATACATGAGCATAAGTAGGTAAGCTGACAATCATATCTTCTGCAATAAACAAGAGCCGAAACTGTTTACAGAAGATGTCCAATGTTCAACGACAGATCTAAACACAGAATAAAAGTAATTGCATGTCAGGGTATAAAATAGGCATAATTTCCAGAAAATAATCAACAAAAAAAAAAAACAACAAATGAAATGTGCATTAGCTCCTATACATTCTTCTAAAACCTGAATGTAAAGCATAAATTGAGCAGCTAGAAAAAGTAAAACCTGATGAGCACGGCAAATGATATCCAGATCGTGTTTCTCAAGAAACTCTGATACTTTGTCAGCCCCAAAAGTATATGAAACGCCCCTGTCGTTCATTCCCCAACCTTGAACATCTTTACTTGGATCTGACCAGAGAAGATCACAGAGCAAACCTGTGTCAGGTACATCAGTTGGACGTCGTAAACTTCGTATCTGATCCAAATTATTGAGATCAGGAGAAAGGCCTCCATGCATACACAGGATCTTCTCATCAATTAGCGCTGCCACTGGTAGGCAGTTAAAACATTCGGTGAATGCTTTCCATAGCCTAACATTAAATCTTCTCTTACACTCATCATAGAACCCATATATGCGGTTTATAGAAGCACATTCATGGTTTCCCCTCAAGAGGAAAAAGTTTTCGGGATATTTTATCTTGTAGGCAAGAAGAAGACATATGGTCTCCAGACTTTGCTTGCCGCGATCAACATAGTCCCCCAAAAATAAGTAGTTGGAATTTGGAGGCAATCCACCGTACTCAAAAAGCCTTAGAAGATCAGAATATTGACCATGAACATCACCTGAATACGATAAACAGATTTCACAAAGGAAAGAAATTCAGAACTATTCCCAACTCAAAGGAAACAGTTACTCGGAGAAAAGATAAGATAAATTACAACTACTATCATGAAAATGAATTCCTAAAAACCATACCTTATATAACAATGACATCAGTACTATAAGTGCCGCATATAAATCAATTTGAAGTATGGGGCAAATAGTTCAACAGAATTTTTCAAAGAGGAATTTTTTTTTCATACACACAAGACACTAAAAAAATCCAAATTCAACTATGAAAAACTGGAGCGGATCATTGAGGGGAGAGGAAAAACTAGCATGCCACACTTGCAATATCATACTAACTAAACAAAGAAAATGTGGCGGAGAATTAATATATCCTAACGAAAATACTGACTCTATAACATTCAACGATATGAAATTAGCCGAAAAAATCACCGTGGAAAATGATTCAAGTCACACGCCTAGGCGTAAAATAGCATACGTGTCCCCCATGCTCACAAAAATATTCCAAGTGCACAAGTCACCAGAATCAACTTTGAAATCCAAAGAATAAAGAACTACTATTTTGAATTAAGCAGTTTGGTGTAAACTCGTATTACAAATTTGTACAATGGAACAAACCGAATAACGTAAAGTTGCCAACCGGCATAACATTTTCCACTGCATTGTTAAAAACGAACAGAATCTTCCCTGAATTAAGGAACCAAAACAACGGCAAAACCAGGTTGCCAATCTGAATAAAAGCTCAATTTTACGAAATGAACACAAAACACTCCACAATAAGCACTAAAGCCACGCATCAATGGAACATTATTTGATCAGTCCATCAGAAACAAACTTGGCTATACCTAACAAGTAATAACCCAATAACCATCCAAAACCACACAAATAAACCAATCTTAAAGCATAAAATACCAGGGTTTAACGGTAAAAGTGGGACTAATTTCACAACCCTGCAGGGATACCTTTACTAAATTCTAAGTTAAAGCATTTATAACATAAATAAAAACTTAACACCCAAAAAAGAAGAGGAACCATTAAGCATAAATAAAGTGCCAATCTTGAAATGAAAACTGCAATTCTAACAAAATTGATCTGAAAGTCCCAAAATTGAATTTCATACAATTAAACAAATACAAAACAATACAACTTGAGTATGTAAAGAATAAGTGAACAATACCACAGATCTTGATGGGTGCTTCAATTTCCAATAAGTTAGGTTGTTGCAAGAAAATCTCTTTAGAAACCACGCAAAGTTGCCGGATCTCTGCTTCCGATAGCTGCACTTGTTTCCCTGTTTTACCACTAACTTCCAAAAGCCGATTTATGATATCATCAAGTACCCCTTGCTCCATTTTCAACTCAATTCTTTCTAGAAGGAGAAAAAAAACTGAGTTATGGAGTTCAGACAAAACGAAGAGAGAAAAGTTATGGGATGTTAAGGTGGAAAAGGGAAGAGGAATAACAAGGAGAAGTGCATGACGCTGGTGAAGAGGAAAGATGCTTCGAGGAGGAGAAGGGTGTCGTTCTCTAGAGAAATCAAGTCGTTTCTTTTTGTTTCAGGGGAGGGCTTTGGTTGAAGAGGTAAAGGCAAAAAAGCAAAAGAGACGTGGGGAAATTTCTTTGGAGAGAATAGGAGAATACTATGTTAGAAATTAGAATGACTGTGATCGGCTTTGCTATTAGGTTGCTTCGGCCATGGAAGCAAACAAAGAAACGGTAAAGAGACAACGTTCGGTAAATTTCGGTTTTTTAGGGTAAATTATAAGGGCAGTTCCTTATATTTTGATCCGTTTCATTTTAATCACCACTTCAAAATAAAACGATTTTGATCTCTTACGTTATCAGTCAATTTGATTATAAAACCATAAATGATTTTGATCACAGTTGATAAAACGAAAGAAAAGAAAAAGAAACTAAACATAAATGATTTTAAAACCATGAACAAGAACCTCAAACAACGTTAATTACTTGCTTTTTTGCTTTAATTCACATCAACAATGTACACGTCGTTCGAGACGGAGATGATCTGTTTCTCTCCTTCAAAATGAAGGTGAAAATGTAATAATGTGAAGTGGTTTAATGAAGAAGATAATCTCGGCTCCTGAATCACTGGAGACTATATATAATCTCGAGGCAATGATAATGATAATGAAATAGCAACACAGATATAAGAGGATCATATCAGTTGTTGCCGGTTGCCACTTTTGTTGAAGCCATAGCAATTCCGTGTCATCTTTCCATATGAAAAAGGGTAAAACTTAAAACAATATTTGATATGACGCTTGAAACAACATTTGACATGGGGTTTTTATTTTATTTTTTAATTGCCAACTGACTTCTGTTAACGAGTTAACGAAAATTAATGGTCGAGGGACTAAAACTAAATATATCGATAATGTAAGGGATCAAAATTGTTATTTGTTTTGAGTGAAAGACCAAAATTAGACAGACTAAAAACTTAAGGGACCATTCATGTAGTTTATCTATTGTTTTATTCAAATACCAAAACTATTGTATTTTTTGATACAAGGATCCAAATATTTCATAAGACAACAATTGTCTTTGATTATTGTACTAATTTAAGCCTGATTAAGTTTTAAGAATTATATTTGACAGGCAAGATCTAATTACACTCGAAAAAAATATATGCAATTCTTTTAATTTTATATAGTATAAGTGAATCTTAATTCATTTTTAATAGCTAAAAAATAATAAGTTTTAATCATTATATTTTTAAATCTCACGTTATTTACATACGAGTTTTTTTTAAAATAAATATATATTTTATAATTAATTAAATTAAATATTATTTTTTTATAAATAAATATATTTGGATTGTCTTTCGTTAATTAATTATAAAAATTATTATTTTTGTAAAAAAATCTTATCAGAGACATTGACAAGTTCCGACGGACAGGTGTAGAGTGTACTATACATGGTAAGAGTAAATTAAATGAGGTTTGGTTCGACGAGAAAAGTTTTAAAGTGCGGTAATTTAATATACGATTAAATAAATACGTTATAATAAATATTATTATTATTTTAATATTTTCAGTAAAAATTTATCTAAAATATTATTATTTCTACCGAAAATATTATTATTGGACACTATCGAATTTATTAATATATCCGATAAAAAATTACTAAAAATATTATTTTTTTCTATAAAAATATTAATATTAAACACTTTACAAAAAATATTAAAAATATTAATATTTTAAATAAAAATAATATTTTAAATAAATTTTTTCATAAAAATTATTAAAAAAATAATAAAATTTCCGATAACAATTTCTTTAACATATATTAATACTTCCATACTGCAGAACTTTCCGGTTAGAGGCAGTACACGCTCTTAACTAAAGAGGCACACGTAAAAGAGAGAGAAATATCCCCAACTTCACTATCCAAGGCAGAGTGTTATCAATGGCTAAATAATCTTTTTGGCCCTCTAATTTCACAAGTTTAATTATTTTAACTTTTAAACTTTTATTACGTCTCATTTGATCCTCAATTTTTTATTTATTTATTTATCAAATTAACTCAAATATAGCAGCATAATTAAAATAGCATCAATTATTTTATTATCATCAAAATATCAATGTTAACTGTTTTATTCTTCTCTGACATATCATAAAACATTAAAAAAATATTATAAATTATAAAAAAATAATTGATGTTAATTTTTCAATAAAAAATAAAATATTTTTTTAAAAACTTTTTGATGATGCGGTGGAAAATAATAAAATAGTTAAAATAAATTTAACAACGTCGTTATTATTTCATCACATAGTTATTGTATTAATAAAGCTGCTAGGATGCATTCAAGTCTTTTCAATGCCTACCTTCTACAGTTGAACAAATTGCCACGTTTCCTTCTCACCACAAATTTTCTCCACTTCAAGTATACTATGTATGAACTAATCTAGAAACCATTGCATTATACATAAATGCATGCATGAGTACATACATACATCATCAAAACTTAAAGATTGAGCAGGGATAAATAATTTATTATATTGCAATGAAGAAAAGCCATTTCATGTTTGTTGCAAAATAGTTCCGCAGCATGTAAAATCTGATATCAAAACCTTGACTGTAGGTATTTCACAATTTCGTTACTCAGCTGAAATGCCCTGCTAAGAACATCAGCTTTAATGGGCGGATTTGATCCGAAAACAGCGTTTGCTATTGTAATCACACCTGGGTTTTGGCTGCTCAAACCAGCAACAGCAACCGCATTGGTCTTCCCAACATTCTGCTGAAAGCGAATCAGGCCAATGGGAAAGACAAAAACATCGCCTGGATGAAGTGTTTTAGCAATAAGACGATTATTCGGACTCGATGTAACGAATCCGACATTGAGCTCGCCTTCTAGGACCACAAGGATCTCGGTGGCTCGAGGGTGAGTGTGAGGCGGGTTCAGCCCACCATTCGGTGCATAATCAATACGAGCTAAAGATATCCCGAGTGTGTTTAGTCCTGGTATTTGATCAACATTTACTGGAGTAACCACTGATCCAACTGAATTCGACGTGTTCTTCGGGAGGTTTAGCCCCGAAAAGAAGAAGTCGTTCGCAGTTGCGAACTTTGGGTCCTTGCACAACTTCCCATTCACAAACACTGCTCGAAATCGAAGTCATGTTAGTCGAATAATGCAGTGACTTGAAATACAAGAAAAACACAGTACATGACAGAGTTACCTCCATTGTTGGCATCTTTGATGGCCACACAAAAGTCCTGGAGGGGACTAGGGTCATAAGCAAAGGCAAACGAGGAAGCCAAAACAAAGAGATTGAAAGCCAGAAGGAAACAAGCACCTTTCATTTTCTTAGACTGTTAGTCTCGCACCTTAATTTCATCCAAGTCGATAAGTCTATTTATGGGCATGTGATCATACATTCTTTTAATGTATAGAAAATATAGGCCAACCAATTGTTTAATGGTTATTTATTTTGCAGCTTAAAGGGAATTATTGTGCACCCAAACTCCTGCAAGTCTCTCTAGAGAGTTTACGATGGAGCTGGTGGCCATTTAATGCATTCATTTATGGTAATTCCTTGAAACGAAACATTTTTTCCTAAATATATCAGAGATTATAGAAAAAACTAAAGAAAAAGTATCAGTTCAATTGGAACTCAAAGCAGGCTAACCTCATTTGGACCAAAACTTGGCTGATATATAAACATGTCTAGTTTTTTACACAGGTAAGTGAGCATGAATTTGTTTCAGAAGAAAAATGACGATGTCAAAAATGGCTTCTCTTCTCCAATCAGCATATCATGTAACTGGCCTTCCTTCTGTATGTTGAAGTCCCTTTTCCTGCGAGTGCTTTCTTTATTTTCTTTCGAGCATACACACGTTATACAGGGATCATAGACGCAGTTCTTTTTAGCAAGTTTATCCTGATCTGAATTGAATGCTGGAAAGTTTTAGGGTCCTGGGTTTCATCAATGCATCTTGATGCAGAGATGTGCAAGAATGCCAAATAGCACTGTTGGATCATAAACTTGATCCATTATGGGAGCCTAAACCCAAACCCAAACTAAATTGATGTCATTACTTACATCATTTAATTAAAGATGTCATTGCTTACGTCATTTAAATAATGATGTCATTGCTTATATCAATTTAGTTAGGTGAGAGTTAGATATTTGTTGAATTTATAATGGTTTAAATTAGTTTATTTGTGTGGTGTAGGATTGTTCTTGAGTAGTATAAATACCCCTTCCCATTTTAGTTTTAAGCATCAAGAAAAATTAAGAGCTTCTAAGTGAGTGAAGAAGCAAAGTCCTATAAGAGTGAGTTGTAGTTCTTGTTTTTGAGTGAGAGTGCTCTTGTAATATTTGTTTGAGTTTCAATAAAAGTTGTTTGTGTGAGTGTTTTATTTCCAACAAAGTGGCATCAGAGAGAGTTGGAAAGATCGAAGGTCTCGACGAGAGGAATCCGACGCCGCCAGAATTTTCTCAATCTGAGTTCTGACGCACCGCCACGCACCGCCGGAAGACTGCTGCCAGAAAATCGAGTTGACTCATCGAGTTGAGCCGAGTCAGCCGAGTTGGAGCCCTTGACCGAGTTTTCCAAGTCCCTCCCAAAGTTTTTTTCGGCGTTCCGGATTCATTCGTGCAATCGGATTTTACAAAATCTCATTATATTGAGAGATATGGCAAATGGTATGGCACCATTCCAAGTTCCGGCAGTCAACAACAATAACTACGACAATTGGAGTATCAAAATGAAGGCACTTCTTGGATCACAAGATGTGTGGGATATCATAGAGAAAGACTATAACGAGATTATGGATGATGATGTTTTTGTTACTCTTACACCAGATCAAAAGACAACTTTGAAGGATTCAAGAAAGAGAGACAAGAAGGCTCTCTACCTCATCTACCAAGCATTAGATGATGATGGTTTTGAAAAGATTTCAAGTGCAAGCTCTAGCAAGGAAGCATGGGAGAAGCTGCAAACCTCTTACAAAGGATCCGAGCAAGTGAAGAAGGTTCGTCTCCAAACATTAAGAGGTGAATTCGAATCCTTACACATGAAAGCATATGAGTCTATTTCAGATTATTTCTCAAGAGTAGTAGCTGTTTCTAATCAATTTAAAAGAAATGGTGAAAAGTTAGAAGATGTGAGGATAATAGAGAAGATACTCCGTTCGTTGGATCCCAAATTTGAACACATCGTTGTGACGATTGAAGAAACTAAAGACTTGGAAGAAATGAAGATCGAGCAGCTCCAAGGATCATTGCAAGCATACGAAGAGAATCATAAGAAGAAGCATGAGTTTACTGAGCAACCCTCAAGCTGCAACTCAAGGATATGCATGAGAGCCAACGCAATGATAGAAACCAACGTGGCCAAGGCAGAGGTAGAGGCCATGGACGAGGTGGAAGTCGAGGTCGTGGACAAGGCTGGAATTACAACAATAACAATTCCAACAGCAACTATGAGAAAGAAGAAAGCTCAACACGAGGCCGTGGAAGAATTAATCCAAACTCAAAGTATGACAAATCTCAAATTCGATGTTATAATTGTCAAAAATTTGGGCATTATGCTTCAGAATGTAGAGCTCCCAACAACAAAATTGAGGAGAAGGCCAATTACGTGGAGGAAAAGACAGATGGCAAAGAAACTCTTCTTCTAGCACGAAAGGAAACTGATGGTGGCCAAGCAAATTCCTGGTATCTTGACAGTGGTGCAAGCAATCACATGTGTGGAAGGAAATACATGTTTGTGGAGCTAGACGAGTCAGTAAGCGGAAATGTTTCGTTTGGAGATGATTCCACAATAGCAGTGAAAGGGAGAGGTAACATTCTTATCCGTTTGAAAGATGGGAGGCATCAATTTATTTCAAATGTCTACTATGTGCCCAATATAAAAAGTAACATCTTAAGTTTAGGGCAACTGGTAGAGAAAGATTATGATATTCACATGAATAATTATAATCTTTCTATAAAAGATGATAAGAATAACTTCATTTCTAAAGTGCCGATGTCAAAGAATAGAATGTTCTTGATCAACATACAAAATGATGTTGCAAAGTGCCTGAAAGCTTTCTATAAAGATGCATCATGGCTTTGGCATATTCGATTTGGGCATCTCAATTTTGGAGGTCTAGAGCTGCTATCTAAGAAGGAGATGGTGAAGGGACTACCTCGCATCAACCATCCTGACCAAATTTGTGAAGGGTGTCTAGCTGGGAAACAATTCAGGAAAAGCTTTCCAAAGGAGTCAGAGACAAGAGCCAAGAAGCCACTCGAGCTCATCCATACCGATGTGTGTGGACCGATCAAGCCTAGCTCTCTCGGTAACAATAACTATTTTCTTCTCTTCATTGATTATTTTTCAAGAAAAACCTGGGTATATTTCTTGAAACAGAAGTCAGAAGTTTTTGAAGTCTTCAAGAAGTTCAAAGCAGCAGTGGAGAGAGAAAGCGGTAGAAAGATCAAAGCCATGAGATCTGATCGAGGTGGAGAATTTACTTCCAGGGAGTTTCAAGAGTTCTGTGAAGCAAATGGAATTCGTCGACCAATGACAGTTCCTAGATCCCCTCAGCAAAATGGTGTGGCAGAAAGAAAGAACAGAACAATCCTCGACATGACACGAAGCATGCTCAAAAGCAAGAAACTACCTAAGGAATTTTGGGCGGAGGCAGTAACGTGTGTAGTCTACTTGACAAACCGATCTCCAACAAGAAGTGTATGGGGAAAGACACCGCAAGAAGCATGGAGTGGAAGAAAACCTAGCATTTCCCATTTGAGAACCTTTGGAAGTATAGCCCATGTTCACGTACCAGACGAGAGAAGAACGAAGCTTGATGATAAAAGCGGGAGTTTTATCTTCATCGGCTATGATGCTAATTCGAAGGGCTACAAGTTGTACAATCCAAACAATAATAAGTTTGTGATTAGTCGAGATGTGGTCTTCAACGAAGAAGGAGAATGTGATTTTAACTCTCATACAGATGACTTCAATTTCTTTCCTCAGTTTGAAGAAGATGAGCAGACAATGAGGGAACAACTAGATGAATCTCAACAAGAGCTTGCAACTCCACCCACTTCACCAACATCAACCACTCAAGGAGACTCATCACCTTTGTCATCGTCAAGTGGGAGTCAAAGTGAAAGAGTTGTGCAACGCATAAGAAGCCTTAGAGATCTCTATGAGGTAACTGAACGACAAGATAATCTTACATTATTTTGTTTGTTTGCCGATTGTGAACCAGTGAGCTTTCAAGAAGCGGTACAAGAAAAGAAATGGAGAGATGCGATGAACGAAGAAATCAAGGCCATCGAGAAGAATGACACATGGGAACTTACCTTACTTCCCAAGGGACATAAGGCGATAGGTGTCAAATGAGTGTACAAAACAAAGCAAAACGCCAAAGGAGAGATTGAAAGGCACAAGGCGAGGCTAGTTGCTAAAGGCTATAGTCAAAAGGCTGGAATTGACTATGATGAGGTATTTGCTCCTGTTGCTCGATTGGAGACTATCAGACTAATCATTTCTTTGGCAGCTCAAAACAAGTGGAAGATACAACATATGGATGTAAAGTCCGCCTTCCTAAATGGAGTTCTTGAAGAGGAACTTTACATTCAACAACCATCAGGCTATGAAGTCAAAGGGCATGAAGACAAGGTGTTGAAGTTGAAGAAGGCTCTTTACGGGCTAAAACAAGCACCAAGGGCATGGAATAGCCGAATCGACAAGTATTTCCAAGAGAATGGCTTCAACAAATGTACCTACGAGCATTCTCTATATATCAAGATCAAAGATGAAGATATTTTGATCGTGTGTCTCTATGTGGACGATTTGATCTTCACTGGAAGCAACCCAAGCATGTTTAATGAATTCAAGGATGTGATGATGAAAGAATTCGAGATGACAGACATGGGGCTCATGGCGTACTACCTTGGCATTGAAGTTAAGCAACAAAATGATGGAATTTTCATTTCACAGGAAAGCTATGCAAAGGAGATACTGAAGAAGTTCAAGATGGAGAACTGTAAGCCAATAAGCACACCGGCAGAATACGGGATCAAGATGACCAAACATGAAGAAGGCGAAAGTGTAGATCCAACATTCTTCAAAAGTTTGGTAGGAAGTCTACGCTATCTAACTTGCACGAGACCCGATATTCTTCACGCAGTTGGATTGGTTAGTCGCTATATGGAATCTCCAACAACCACCCATTTTAAAGCCACAAAGAGAATTCTTCTCTATCTAAAAGGTACAATTGACTTTGGCTTGTTCTATTCAGTTTCTAACGATTACAAGCTTGTTGGATATAGCAACAGTGATTGGGGTGGAGACATAGATAATCGAAGGAGCACT